GTATATGACAATTAATACACTCTCATTGATCACAACTAAAACGTCCTGCGGTAGAAATACATTATTAACAATACTGTTGTTAATGACTGCAAAATCGTCAAGGAGTATATAAACTGACTACTGCCCCGCGGAAGCGATTAATCAAGGATGCCGGTGGATGTATTTCAAAAAGCTTTTAGATGCCAAATGTGTTATAATTTGTAACTTGATAGTGTGCTAAGCTGGCATTAGTATACACCTGAGCCCTGTAGTATATAGATAAATCGGTATAGGTCCATGAGTGATGGGAAACAGATTCATCAATTTACATCTACGTTTTAATTAATTACTGGCACACCGAGACGCGAGATCACTAAGTTCAGTACATCGACCCAAATCTGGAATGGCCCTGATTGTTTCCAAAGGAACACGTCCATTTGGAAATTTCTAAAAATATTTGAAATTTACACATGTAAACTGAATCAGGATTACTGATTAGTCTTCATAAAGGTAAAATTCTTCAAGCGTTTATCAAATACATTTAACACATTTAACGACGTAATTTATAACATACGTAATTCCTTAAAAGCTTCTGAAAATAGGTTAAATGTTCTTCTTCATCATATGAATAGACGATGAAGATTTTAGTCTGGAAACGAACGTGGTTTTGTTTTGTTTTTCTCGTCTTATGATTTAATGGCTAAAAGAACATACATCATAAAACTTGTAGTTGACCCCACAATTACATGTCATTTATAACGTTACGGGGGTAAGACCCAAAATATAACTATGATATCTTATTAAATATATCACCATTGAATCATCCTTTTTTGTGTGCTATATTTCTGCCAATATTGAACATGGGGGTATACTTTATTGTTCAAATATGGCTTCTCGTATGTTTTTTTTAAAGAGTTGGCTCGTCACGTCGAAGACACGGGTTCGAATCCCCACATGGGCAAAATGTGTGAAGCCCATTTCTGGTGTCCCCTGCCGTGATGTTGCTGGAATATTGCTAAAAGCGGCGTAAAACCAAACTCAGTCAGTCAGTCAGTATGCTTGGTTCAACAAAGATGTAGGTAATAGAGAATTGTTTATGTGCATATTCAAACAATGATGTAAAGGTATTTATTATCAAGAGTGGTCAGCTACTGTGGCCACTGCCAAATAGTTGCACACATATTCAACCTATAAACTTGATATAATGCCTGAAACGTACTGACGAGTGTTACCTTCTGTTGATCTACGTAGAGCACTGAAGAAATTTTGATGTGGTATTTCTGCTTTTAACATACAATTATACAAAAGATCGAAAAGTGTAGATATCGCAATTGCCATGTGCCCTCATTGTCTTAATAAGTTAGAAAATGAATCATTTTATGTCATGTACTATTAAGTTCACAACTTTTTTGAATTCAAAATCAGCTAATATATTACTACGTTTATCTGTGTATTGTACAAAAGTAATGCCTTCACATATAATCCATTTGTGAATCAATGTCCAGGCGCTCCGGACTCTATATTATTATGAATATCGATGTACTGCTGGCCTCATGGCCGTTAATACAAATATAATCTTCTGTCTGGTGTATATTTTCTTTTATTACTCACCAGTTGAAAATGTCACTGTTTAATAATTTTACAATGTTATTACACATTGTGTAATAACATAGCGTGATGCCGTACGTATGACGTCAAAGTGGTTTACAGTTATGACGCCACAATGCTAATACCTCTGTCACAATAGTATGAGACGGTTCATTCTCAGGACGTGGACAACCTGAAATTTTGCATTCGCAGGACGTGGACAGACGGTGTACCTTTGATGTCGTCTGGGAAGTGTTAAAATGTGAACTGTTATCCGGGATTGTTAAGGTTTCATGAACTCTGTTCACTCTGGTAAGCATGTGACTATGATAGGTGAGTGAGTTCACTCAGAAATTGTTTGGTTTAAACATATTTGTATATGAAATATCTGGTTTGGTAAACAAGCAGAACTTTGCTTATATCCATACCTCACCAGTACATATATCATTTAAACAAAATACACAAGAACTGGATACACAAAACGACAAATTAAATCATATATGTGCGTTGTAGGTGCTTATAAACCTTGAGCCTGCAGTTACACTTCATTAATTGTTTACATATATTAGTCTAGAATAATTTATCAAATCGTTTAGACTTAAAGATGTATTGATGCAGGGACTCTATTATGTTCTTATTGGCATCGTTGTTTGACGGAGGTATTCCGTATAACACAGTTTGGAGACTATGGCCATTTACATAGAAAGAGGTATTATTTCTAACAGCAGTGTATAACTTACATGTAAAAAGATAATGAACAGTATCTTCATTGTGGTATCCACAAGCGCATTCAGGGTTGTTAGAAATGTGTCTATTTACTTTATCCGCATTCAAATCACTACAGCCGAGCTTAAGTCGACAGTGTACGATCTGACAGAACCGACTGCCATAATTCAGATCTAGATAATTATTTGATTCATCATTTTTAAGCAGAGATTTGAATTCACCGATTGAATTAGCGAATACGAAATTATCAGGTAATGAATTCCAAATTCTACTTGTGTCAGGAAGGAACGATTGTTCATATATTTTAGCCCTACAATTTATTGTTTGTAGCTTAGATTTATTACGGAGATTATATTGACTGTTTTCAGAGACAAATTTAGGAACAAGGTCACAGAGGTAGTCAGATTGGACCGTGGGGACATCAGCGTCATTGTGTTTGCCGACACAGTGTCTTATTTATTAAAACTGAAAAAAAGAAACTTGTTTCGTTTCCTTATAATTTCACAATCTAGTATTGCCCGAAGTCTTGCAATCACACACTCTGTCTATTGTCTGGCGTTAATTAGCTCAGTAACCCATTCGCACGAAGTGGACACTTTTTTCTTGACTTTGTTTTTTACACGACACAGGGTGTCCACGTCCCGAGAATACCCCTATGAGACCTTGCTTGACTCGCGGAAAGCTGAATGTCATCACACTCGTTGAATTTTCAGGAAAGAAGTACTTTGCTCGATATTATTTTGCTAATGGTGGGCGAGTAATAAATAAATACTAAACTATGTCCCGTGTAATACCATATTTATGAAACTCGTGTATGGTATTGGTATCTAAACTCGCTTTCGCTCGTTAGATACCAAACCATTCACTCGTTTCGATAAATATGGTATTACACGAGACATCGTTTAGTATTCTCTATCTTTCCGGTAGTATATTCGACAAATGCACGGCGTTAAGGGGACAGCAGTTTCAGCAACATTCCGGCGTACCATTGTATTAATAGATGTAATGAGTTAAATCAAATTATTTCCAGTCAAAACCTGTTGTGTGCTGACAGAATTTGCTTCTATATTTGCCCACATTGACACCTGGCGCAACAGGAATTTTCTGCGTTGAGCTTGTATGCTATCTAACTGACTGGTTCACAAACGACCACTTTTGACATCTGAATGGCGTTACAAACGGCCACTTCGACATCTGAATGACATCACAGACACCTTAGTCTGATGGTGGTTAAAACGAACACGGTATGGCTATTAGAAGGCGATGTACCCGAGAAGATCTTGATTAGAATTGGTCTTCAGTAAACCATGTGTGTCGTAAGAGTGAATAACGGGATCGGATGGTCAGGCTCGCTGACTTGGCTGACACATGTCATCGTATCCTAATTGCGCTGATTGATGTTCATTTTGCCAATCAGTGGATTGTTTGGTCCACTATAGACCGCCATCATATAGGTGGAAAATTGCTGGGTGCGATGGTAAACAACAAACAAACAAGGCGATGTATGTGAGATGGGTGTCGTTTCTGGACATGAAGCTCGAAGTGTTTTATTTACAAAGTTCTGTTGAAGTTTGTAGTTTTGTAGCCAAATGCAATTTTCAGGTGAACACTTTCTACATCACCTAGGACACCAACTAAAGGAACACCCAAGACGATCTTCTCTGAGATGCCATTACATTGTTTCCAAGTTATTACATTTCTCTAATATAGCGTATTTAAATGAAAGCGTTAAAGCTGTTTACAATGCTACACCATTCAAAATACAACACAGTATCGTAAAAACATAATACCGCTATATCATGTTGATGTCTGAGAAATGAAAAATCGTAATACTATACTTTAACCATTTATTTAATCTAATCGCAATTCTTATAGTTAAATTTCTTTTTTTTTTTCGTTTTTCTTTCGTTTCACGTTTTCAATACATGTATTTATTTGCGTCTCGCTCATAATTCGTACCACTTCTTGATTGTTCCCGATCGGGCAGTCGCCTATTGAACACCTTACATTGTAAAGCATATTGTATAACCGCCACACGCAAAGTCGAGTTACCAACAAAGACGACAATGGCGCCCCTTACCTGTGTATAAATGGAGTGGTCATAGGCTCACTGGAGCGGAAGAGGGCAATAGTATTCACAGGGTAGCTCGTATAGCACGCTTACACACGCTGTCATGTTTCCTACAGTTGTAAAACCATGTCAGATTGAAACTTCGAGGTTTACAGTAAAACATGTCACTACACATGCTTCTATCATACATTATATACATGTATATGTATATGTATATGTATATGTTTGTGTTTGAGCATGTGTATGTATGTGTGTGTGTGTGTGTGTGTGTGTGTGTGTGTGTGTGTTTTCTTGCATATGATATCCATACAAGGTATTTGCTGAGTGCGGCGTTAAACAACAAACCATATAAGGTATAAAACTGAATCTATTGTCTCACGTTAAATCTGAAATCAGAAACTATTCAATTGTTCATAGCAAGAAACATTTTCAACGAATTCGCAGGAAAATATTCATACAATATGCAGCGGAATACGAATATAAAATTACCATTGTTCTAAATGTTTTGATGTGTCAACTGAATGAGATGCGTTGACGGCGAGCAAGCCATATGTTCAGAGCAAACCTGTAGCCGACATCGATATCAATCCACGTATAGGAAATAGCGTGTAGCGGCAATGTTGTTGTTTGTACTTACCCATTGTGTATTGATCCAAGCGCGACTATAGCCAGTAACCACATGTATATCACCCGTCGCTTCACGTCGTCGACTGATGTCCCGAGCCAAGTCCTTGCTTTTACCTGAAGGCTGTTCGGGAGGTTTTCATAACAAGGCATTCGATTGGTTGATAATCCCAGGTGGGAGAACTGTAAGTAGTCTACAACTCTAGGCCTTGGTTTTGGCCATTACCCAACTAACTGTGTATACAAGTTAGAGTTAATGAAATGGAGATTTGAGATGGTGCTGCTGGCGAGGGTGAAAGCCGGATGCTAGTATCCCCTTGGGGAGGACGTAACGGATGTTTCACGCCTGACGTTGAAGGCATTTGTCATCCCAGACAGAACGAAGCTAATGGTCGTTGCTGTCGCAGTTTGTAGACAGCTACGCTTTCTAGGACGATGTGTTAGTTCCGATATTATCTTGATGTTGTGGCGACTGAAGCTGCATTAGTTTGGTTAACGTTGTGATTAGTTTGGGTCAGTGATTGTGACGTCATATTTCACAATTCCCCATAATGCGCTTATTTTATTTACCGACATTGTATAATATTGTTGAAATCAGTTTTAAGATACGAAGACACAGACTCTTTCTCTTTCGATTAAGTGACCGTGGGGTAGCCTAGTAGTTAAAACGTTCGCTCGTCACACCGAAGACCCAGGTTCGAGTCCCCACATGGGTACATGGTGTGAAGCTCATTCCTCGTGTCTCCTGTTGTGATATTGCTGGAATATTGCTAAAAGCGGCGCAAAACTAAACTCGCTCAATCTCTTTCGATTGTCTTAAATTGTTAAAAGTTAGAGAGAGTGACAAAGTGCGAGGAGAGAGTGCGAGAGACAAAGAGGGGTTGGGTGAGCGAGTGAGAGAGTTAGGTAGGCACAGGCAGAAAAAGTGGGTGAGTGAGTAGAGTTAGAATTAAATTAGTAAGAGGTGAAAGAGAGATAGATTGAAAAGAGTGAGAGAAATAAAGAGACCGAAAAAGTGGATGAGTGAGGGAAAGTGAGAGTTATATTAGGTAGAGGTGAAAAGAAGGAAGAGTGAATAGGGTGAGGGAGGCAAATAGACAGAAAGAATGGGTGAATGAGGGAGAGTAAAAGTAACATTAGTTAGAGGTGAAAGAAAGGTAGAATCTGAGAGGGAATGAGAGAGGCTCACAGAGACAGAAAGAGTAGTGAGTGAGGGAGTCGACAGTTAAAATTAGCAAAAGATTGAGAAATAGAAAGGGTAAGAGAGAGTGAGAGAAAGGGTGAATGAGAGGCAGGACGTTGGACGGCGACACCATTAGTTGTTAGCAACCACAGAACCATACGTTTAATGTAAATGCAGTTCGATGTGAAAATGCGCAACACACTCCGTTAGCACATACATGTCTAATGTTATTTCAACTATTTCAGAGTTAACAAGGAAACTCAAACTGCGAATGCATCGTAACAAAAGAGCAATAAATGCCTCCTTCGATGCTACTTTCAAGTTGCTTCCAGTTACCGTTTACCATAATCACTACAATATTATATGATAGTATTTGTTTGTGTACAGTATTACATTGCAATATCCCTATGATAAACAAACTTCATGTTGATGAAAGTGACACACAATCCACGAGAATGCATGAAAGCACATGCTTGTCTAGTAAATGGATTATTCAAAAATTATTTCAGTGTTAACAAGGACCCTTAAAATGCATCTAAACAAAAGTCTTAGATCTTAGAGCAAATGATGCTTTCAAGTTGTTTCCAGTTACCCTTTACCATACTCACTACAAGACTATGTGGTATTATTTATTTGTGTGAAGTATTACATTGCACCTGATAAAAATTAATTTTGATGAGAGTGACACAAAATGAAAGTGTGTTACCGGTCTTTGCATGGTGTGTGATGTATGTTTGTCAATTCAAGGTGAATAACATATCAATTTATGTTCCGATAAATGTACTTCATGCTGTTTGGGATTTAGAGAATTACTCGAAGTACATTATCAGGCGGGAAAGGTCCTGATGCATGGGAACCTAACGGCTTCGTTTACGATAATGTCAGCGGCAGTAACTTACACCCAGACAATGTACCACCATTCATCATCAGTGGATTACCGTAAAGACATCAGCCTCACATGTAATTTCGGCATTCACAGATGACAACTGAACCGTACAATACGTGATCGTCATAAGTATGGGAAACGTCCGATGTAATTTAACTTACACTTATTGTTAATGGGGAATCATTTGACAATGTTCGTGGTATTAGAAACAAGGGAGAATGTACAATGACATGACGTAAATAAATCGAGATGATGGAAATATGATTTGCCCTGAATTAGTGAAAGGTTACATCGTAAAAATAAGCGTTGGAGAACATGGTACTACCGAAATGGTAATCCTGTTTGTTATCAATTTCTTTTGTTCGTGTTAAGTTTTATTTAAGTGTTGTTTTGAATCATGCTAAATATTAGACAATATAATGTCTCCCAAATATATATTGAGCTATGGTGACAGTGAAACGAGGCCTGTGGAACACCTGGTGTCAGAACTGTTTTTTAGTGATTCTTAACCGTTTCGAAGCTATTTAATTTGCATTTTATTACAAATTGACTTTTTACGTCGTTTTCGCTGGCATGATGCGGCGGATAACAAAATAGGCAAGACAGAACCATGTGCATCCGTACACATGAATTTCTTCAGGAATGTTGTCAGACATGTACAACATACATGTAAGGTTGGTGTCATTGTGGGTGTGTGGTTGGGTAGCCTAATGGTTAAGGCTTCCGCTCGTCACGCTGAAGACCTAGGTTCGATTCCCTACATGAGCAAAATGTGATATTGTCGGAATATTGCCAAAAGCGGCGTAAAACCATACTCAGTCATTCATGTCATTGCCTCGTGTACATGGTGCCAAGTTGTCTTAGAAACTCTCACTTAGAACTTCTTTCCTCCGTGATCCTGAAAAATCGATGCTTACAACAGTGTGATTCTGCCAATACAATCATTAGATCCCTCCAGGAATACAATAATTAGTTTCCTATAGGAAGTCATTTGAGAAATTAAGTATGATGGGCATCACCAATGATATCTGCATCCATTGATCTTGTCCTCGGTCTTGATTGAAATCATTTACTACCGTTATCGACGGGGAACCAGCATCGTTGTACGGAAGAAAAAGCAAATGAAAGGTGAGGCATGCTAGCATCCCCTCTGAGCTCAAAGATGCACTGGGTTCAACAAAGCATTCAGTCTGAACGGAAGTCTTCAGTACTCATTAAGTTATCGGGTATCCGAGATCCTTGGATGGCGTGAACCCTAATGAAGAACGTGTACATTGTCATCAATAGATGATGAGTTCGGAACAAAAGACTGGGTGTGGTGGAAAACAAACATGCTGTTTATGTCGTGTTAAACTTTGAGTGAGCGTGGTTGTAAATTGGCGTGGTTGTCAGTAATCTTTTGTTGTTGGTTTTTAATCCGCGCTGAAAAATTTCATGCTTCTAACGACGGCCTGTAAATAAGTCTGGAATAGACAAACTTGTTGTTGATAGTTAAGTTACGATCCTTTCTTTTGATAACATGCAATCAACCAGGCCACCGGGTCTGACAACACATTAAGTCGCATCTAACGACATGCAAAGGTTGCCGGGAACTACAAGTGGATCCCGGAACGCGTTGTTTCAAGACAAGTTTGGGTTGTTGGATTGTTTGTTGTTTAATGCTGCACTCTACAATATTCCAGCTATATGGTGGCGGTCTGTAAATGATCGAGTCTGGACTAGACAATCCAGTGATCAACATCAGGAGCATCAATCTACGTAATTGGGATACGATGACATTTGTCAACCAAGTCAGCAAACCTGACCACCCGATCCCGTTAGTCGTCTTTTACGACAAGCATGGGTTACTGAAGATCAATTATAACCCGGATCTTCACGTGTGTTTCAAGATAAGATATGAACAGATAAGCATCATGGGATTCGATCTACATGCGTTTCCTGACTGTAGGTCCAACTTTTTTTCATTTAAAAGCACCTGGAACCGGAAATTCTGTTACACACTCATTGCCAAGGTGACAAGTGCCTTTTCTGTCAAAGTCTGATGTACGGACTTACGTACATGCGTCTGTGTCAGCGAGGTGGGTCTCTTTGGAACATTTTGTTCTTGCTGATTTGTAAAACTAGGTGTGGTTCAAAGAGGGGCCAAGTGGACTGTCCTTTTGCGGGGAAAATACCGTTCAAATTTACCGTTCATTTGTAAGAAACAACCAGCACCTAAAAGCATAGATGACATACACATTTTAAATCCTCTTGAACACATCACAATTACAGGATAAAGACCTAATGATCAGACCTACCGCAGCGCCGTCGTTCGTGGTGGTTGGGTGAGTTTGTGCGACATGGGAGAAAATGTATAGCGAAATTTGTATATGTTGTAGTATCCACAATCTGGCTTCACTGATGTACCACACAAAGGTACTTGACCTGAGATACCCCATCGTACAAACACTACTGTGTGGTGACAGCAATATAGAGGTCCTTCTTTCCTATTGGTTATTGATTATTGATCGACTTTCAAGTCTCGGGGCAAACAGGGCAATTAGAGCAATTCTCTTCTTCCCTTTTGACTCACGAGGTAGTTTGTGTCTTACTTCCGCCGGATCGTGTTCAGTTGGGCGTGTATTGGTTGTTTCGCATTCAAGGGTTTACACGAACCAAAGCATGTGTTTGTTGTGTTGATTGTTATAGTGACTCTAGGGACAACTGAAGAGGTCAGGCAGGCTACAATGTTTGACTTGGCCAATTGTGCAGTCAATCTCTGAAATGGCACAGGGTCGATTAATTGTTCACCGTTAAAGCGTCATAAAATTACTTAAAGCGTTGATGTTTTTATTATTATTCATATACATATCATCGTTGTCGTTGTTGTTATCATCGTCGTTGTTGTTGTTGTTGTCATTGTCGTCATCATCGCCGTGTTGATGATGATGATCACGACTACTATGACGCCGACGTCGACGACGACGACGACGACGATCACGATAATGTACTACGACGGTGATGACGATGATCACGATGGTACTACTGATGACGACGACGGTGGTGGTGGTGGTGGTGGTGATGATGATGATGATGATGATGATGATGATGATAGTGGTGGTGGTGGTGGTGGTGGTGGTGGTAGGGTGGTGGTGATAATATGTTATATAGTTCCAGAAAGCATTAATGGATTGTAGCTCGAAGTATAATACATGGAGATTAAATGGGTAATAATTATTGCCGTCTAGATCTAGAGTCATTAGGAATTCCTTT